AAGTCTCCCTCTCGGGACGGCGAGAACACAAAGACAGAACAGATCTCCAGGACCAATCCGGAAACGGACACGGCCATGATATTATAGAATACACACAATACAGCAATACAGCTTCGGGTAGTGGCCAAGCAACGAGTCGCTACGCGGGGCTACCGCCATCATCGGGCAGCGACCTTTATCCGAAGACTTTGGACGGTGTAAGTTCCAATGCAAACACATTTGACGGCGCGCTAAGTTGGCGACAAGATTGCCAAGTTGAACCAAATGATCTACGACAATCGAATGTGCTGCCAAGGGCTTTAGAGATTGGGGTAGGGCAAGCAACAACAAACATTACATCTTGGTCCGGAACCAATCAAGAGTATAGTGACTTCTTCAGTGACAGAGAATCCATTATATTTCCACCAGAAAGGCCATTCAGTATTGAAAACACCTCTCCGGTCTTGGCGCGAGATAGGCCATACCAACAAACCCCCCAAGTAAGGACGACACATCCTGCGGCGAGAAGTTCATCTGAGCCAAGAAAAGGAAAACACAAAGCTTCGTCGCCGCCCGCAGACGATCATCCACGCCGCCCAGCGCGACCGGGCAAAAGAAACAACATTACGGATGAGCATGCCGAAGGTAGCTCGTCATCTAACCCTCAGCCAAGGTCCAGAAAAATCTGGGCTTGTCCCCTAGCTAAGCAATCTAAAAGCTATGACCACCCCTGCTTCAGAACAGGTTTTGAGGATATATCCCGTGTCAAGCAACATCTGAAACGATCCCATTCTTGTGAGGTTCCGAAGAACCGACGTCAGCCTGAAGGCTGGAATAACCATGAGTTAAGGGTTATCACTGTTGACCACCAAAAACAATTCAAGAAGAAAATGCCAGCGCATAGTGAGGAGAGCTGGAATACGGTCTTCCAAATCATTTTCCCCAAGGATCCTTTGCCAAGCAGCCCGTATCTTGATAACGACGTCCCCGAGCCCTATGCTGCGTTTGGGCATCATCTTGAATCCAATTTCATAAATAAGATAAATGGCCTTAAACAGCTCATGACACAGGAAGCCTTTGAAAAGCTAACGAAGATTGTCCCTGAAACGATTCGCGCGACGCTCCGAGACTGGTGGGCTAAATCGTCTTCAGGTTCTCAGTCTGGAAACTCCTCCCATGGCCAACACGATCAACAATTTGGACAACGAAGCGAGGACGCATATGCTTCTGCATCGGTGTCTGGGAGTTTCAGGATACATAGACCGATGGGCCAAAGCGTCGGTGACCTGAGTCACCATATCACGAGGAGCCATATGGCCCAGGATGAAATTCCTACGCAGCAGCAAAACAGCCCATACAACGCACGATATACCTGTACAGATCGCGTTTATCAGCACTCCCAATCAGCTGCAAGCGCTTGGGAACCCACGAATCCAAATGCCTCCACGTACAATTTCACCAACCAACTGCTCAGCTCTGACAGTCTGGAGCAGGCAGAACAAGAATGCTTTTCACGCCCATCAACCCAGTCGAATACGGGACAGTCGCTAACAATATCTGAATCCGGCTTTGACGAGCTACCGGTGGGTTTCCATGGTAGCACAGCTCAGTACCAACAACAGCATAATTGGGGGCAGCATCAACATCAGTACCAGCATCAAGAGCAGAAACAAGATGAGGAGCTACAACAGTTGGACTCCTATACCTCGAATTATTGCTGCATGCTACGTTAAGAGCTATCTCTGCAGCTATCCGGGATTCGTGCACAGAGGTCTACCTTTCGTTCTGTTCGACGACATTTTCGTATTATATGCGGGTATAGGGTCTGAAAGCGGTGTTATAATAATATCTGATATAAATGTTAACTTTCGTAAGCCCTTTTACCGTATCGTTTATATAAAGTAAAGTGCTATTAATAATAAGTTCTAAAGTTTAGAAAAAAATGTATCTTTTAACTTTACTTTTTTACTATTATTATTATAAGTAATTTTAATTAACTTATTTAACTTACTATTTAGAGAAAAAAAAAGGGGGGGGGGGGGGGGGGG